AGCAATAAAATAACAAGTCCCTAACTTTTTTTGTGTTACAGGAGTGGACCTTAACTGTGGAAATTTTTTGGGCACGTACACGCAAGGGGCAATAAACAAAGGCTTTGTAAAAGAATCTGAAATTGATAGGGCTCTAACAAACAATTTTGCCACTCTAATGAGACTAGGATTCTTTGATGGCAATCCTAAAAACCAAAAATATGGAAAAGACCTTGGTCCTAAGGATGTATGCACTCAAGAAAACCAAGAACTTGCCCGGGAAGCAGCAAGGCAAGGCATTGTGTTGCTGAAAAACAGTGACGAATCACTGCCTTTAAAAGCAACTGCTATAAAGTCCTTGGCTGTAATTGGCCCCAATGCCATTGCAACCAAAACCATGATTAGCAATTATGAAGGTAATTATTATAAAAACATATTCTATTTCACATAGTCAATCCATTCTATAAAAAAAGTTTCACCTGTTTCAAAACCCTACTTGTCCTATTTTATACTTCTCTGTTCCCTCTGATGTTTTCAGTAGAGCTTCAAAATTTGGTTGATATGTTCACATTTATAAGCCATTGTTTTTTCATATGAAACTAATCCTTTATGTACATTCTTTGGATAGTGTAGTTTGGTATCATTTTATTTATTAATGCATTAGCAAACTATATTATGAAAAATATTACCACATATTACAATTATTTCAATATAAGATTTCAAAGTACCTTTTTAGAATAGCCAACCAACTTTATTAATGGTCGAAGTTGTGTGTTCAAAATCGCGAAAGTTAAGTCATGCTCTTGCAAATAAGTGAGAATAGGGGAAGTTTTTTTCAATACTGAATAAAATAAGTAACTCTCTTTAGTTTCTATAATGTTTTGGTTAATTATTCTTTATAATAAGCCCATGAAGAAATAAAACAGGAATTATTTTTCATGCAATTTTCTGTAAGCTGTAAGGAAATCATTGTGATAAATTAAGTCAAACCCGAAAACAAGTTTTAAAGATATACAAGTAGGAATGCGATCCAAGACTACCTCTCTAAAGCAAATTCTGTTCATTCCTTAGGACGAATGTAAATTAAAAAAAAAGTAAAGAGGCATATATGAATCTGAGCAGACTCATATAGTTGGCAACGCCAGCACCATTCATTTTATAGTAGTGAGCGCTATTGCATTCTCTCAGTTCACTAAAGTTGACACATTTTAGTGTTCCTTTGCATTAGTCAATTTATACACATTGAATTTCTTTTCCAAAATTCTCCTTCCTATACCACTCAATTCATTCTTTGGACATCAAGGAGGGGATGGTTTTAAACAAAAGCATCTTGATTTTTGGGCATTTAACTTATTTAGTATGATGAATTTTTTGCAGGGACTCCATGTAACTACACAAGTCCTTTACAAGGCCTAACAGCAGCCTATAAAAATATTGTTTACTCGTCGGGTTGCAGCGATGTAGCATGTGTCACACCCCAGATTCAGGAAGCCCAGAATGCTGCAACCGGTGCTGATGCAGTGGTTCTTGTAATGGGTTCGGATCAAACCATTGAGAGAGAATCTCTTGATAGAATCAACATCACCCTTCCTGGACAGCAGTCAACTTTAGTGTCTGAGGTTGCTAAGGTTGCCAAGGGTCCAGTAATCCTAGTTATAATGTCTGGAGGTGGCATGGATGTCAAGTTTGCAGTCGATGACCCCAAAGTAACAAGCATCCTTTGGGTGGGATTCCCCGGTGAGGCTGGTGGATTAGCCATTGCAGATGTGATCACCGGTGAACACTGTCCAGGTGAGCAACTGAGCATTCATTTCCATTCGATTTTTGAGCATGTTTGGCATATGTTGTTTGACCCAAACTACAAAAAAGAAACAAAAAAAAGTTGTTTTTTATTCAATTCAGCCAATTTAGGAAATTCAGCGCACCAAATAAAAATTAATATTTGGTAAAGGAATGATTTATATGGCTAACAAACGGGCACATAACTTTCTACGTTCAGCGAAGGAAAAAACTCAAAAAAGAAATGGTAGAATAAAATAACTGGTTTAATAAGTCAAATGCAGCTACTTATTTTGGCTAGTAAAATGAATAAGCTTATAAATGTCACCAAAGGAGTTTTTGTGTTATTTAGGGAGGGTCTTTGTAACAGTTTACTCCTGATTGTGTTTTTTCTCTTTACAAAGAATGGATTAGACCCTCTGCATTCCAAGTTTCCAACCATATTATTGACTGGTTTACATTTATTCTGCTGGTTAAGGCGGCAAGCTACCAATGACATGGTACCCACAATCATATGCAAACAAAGTGAGCATGTTAGACATGAGAATGAGAGCAGATGAAAGTTCTGGCTACCCGGGCAGGACTTACCGGTTCTATAAGGGCGAGAATGTTTTTGAATATGGATACGGGTTGTCTTACACCAGCTTCACCCACAGCATGGTCCAAAGTGCACCAGAGTCAGTCTCACTTCTCTTATCGGAAGACCACACTTGTCGTACATCAGAATGCATGTCAGTTGAGGCTGCAGAAAATATATGTAATAATTCACAGTTCGATATTCATCTTAAGGTCAAGAACTCGGGACAAATGAAGGGAAGCCACACTGTTATGTTATTCTCTAGGCCTCCCCAGGTCCACAATGCACCCCTCAAACAACTGTTGGTATTCGAGAAGGTGCATTTGGGTGCAAATGAAGAAGGTGTTGTGAGGTTCAGTGTGGATGTTTGCAAGCATTTGAGTGTCGTTGATGAGATCGGGACAAGGAGAATTCCTCTCGGACATCATTTGCTTCTTGTTGGAGATTTGGAACATTCTTTGCTTGTCACCGTTTGAATCCAAGCCATTGTTTTTCCTTCAAAGAAAAACTTACATACTCCTTATCAACAATTGTAACAAATTTGCATGTTCTTACTCAAAGTGATGAGAATGTGCAAGCCTGAAAGTTGTATTTATTCATAACTGATTTGATGCTGTTGAAAGTGTTATTTCTGCACAAGTTAAAGTCATTGTCATCTAATATTGGGAAGGCCAATCACTATGTGTATCCATACGCCCTTGGAGATACAATGTACATTTTAATTGTCATCTACTCCATAATAAAGATGTAACTATGTTTAATAAGCAGTTAATAAATCCATGGTCAGTTATGTTTAACTGTCCGTTAAAAGAAGTTGAGCTTGAATCGGAAAGACTAATATACTTTCAAAGTCTATAGAATTGAATAGGATCATTTGCTAATATTGTTGATCATCACTGGGATTAATGAGGATTCAAATTAATCCCAGTTTTTTTTTTTTTTTTTTTTTACTTCCTTTGCCCATCTCTCCTAATAAGCTCTTACTTTATAACTTATAAGTAAAGGTTCATTACACAATTTTTACTTCCTTTGCCCATCTCTCCTAATAAGCTCTTACTTTATAACTTATAAGTAAAGGTTCATTACACAATTTTCACAATTCACAAATCAAGAAGTACTACGTATTAGTTTGCCCTTGATAGAAAGTGGACTAGTGTTTTCGTATTTTATAATTTTTATCATAAGCAGTTGAAATTAAAAACAAATCGAGATCAATCTCACTTTAGCTTATAACCAGATGTTACTAGCTAGGTCTTTCACTTTGCTGATAATTGAGCAGTTAACAACACTAGTTGGGTTTAAGATGGTTCTGAAGTACTAATTACCAATACCTTGGAAAATTTCAATAATTATGTAATATGATAAACAAATCTAACTAGATAAAGTGGTTGTTTTTTAATAAACGACTTCTGGTATCAAATCCTCCCAAGCATTTGAGGTGAAATTTCACATTTTTCGTATCGTATCCAAATTAAAATTTTCTTTAGGAGAAGTGATTGCATCTAAGTCGATCTCGAGCACGGTTTCACTTCATTAATACCTACAGTTGCATTAACAAACACATTGTAGTGGTATAGAAATGATCAAATCAGTCCACAAACCTTTCGATTCAAAATTCAATCGAAAATGCAGTTAAATAAATTATTGGAAAACATTGTGTCAAGATATATACAAATTTCACTTTGTTCACACAGTGTTTTTCAAAAGTTTATTTAATTGACTTTTTTTTATCTAATTTTGATCTGAAATTTGTGGGACATTATCTACACTTCATGAAGAAATTACTCACAAAATTTCATTAAAAATTCTAGAAAAAATAGTCAAATAGGCCATCGAACTAACTTAAAAAATTACTCTGTCCGGCCATCTCCATTTGGGGCGGTTCCCGGTTGAATTTTTTGATGAAATTTTTTAGCATCTTCTTCATTAAGTCTAGTTTACTCATACCAAATTTGTTAAGACCTGAGGTTCCATCCTAAAAGGTCAACCTTATAGGAGGAATATCTCATGTCTTAATATAGCACTTTGTTGATTCAAACTTTTCTGGTGTGGGATTCTAACAAAATTTAAGCTAAAAATTCAATCGAGCAGGCAGTCAAATGAATTTTTGAAGAGACCTACACAGTTAAACAGCGCAGTACATTTCAGAAAATCATTTGACTGTATTCACGGTTGAATTTTTATCTTAAATTTGGTATGAGTAAACTAGACTTAATGAAGAAGATGCAAATAAAAATTCATAAAAAAATTCCACCGGGACCACCCCAAATGGCGACGGCTGGAAAGAACCTCCCATATAAGGTCTGATTTGCATTTTTTAAGTTGGTTCGAGGGTCTATTTAACCCTTTTACCAAAATTTTATGAAGAATAACCTCCAATGATCTCCATATACTATGTACTCCCTCCGTCCCTAAATTATCATCAAACTTTCCTTTTTCGTCCGTCCCAAAATTATCTCTTCTTCCCCCTTTTAGAAAAAAAAATGTGGTTCACAACCATTCTTACACATTCTTACACATTTCTCTCTCCTCTGCACAACTCTCCACCAAACAAATCCCACTATCTTAATAAATGTGCCTAGTGGAAAAGGAAGAAAGATTAGGGATGGAGGGAGTATTTAAAAAGAAAGTAAGAAAGGGTGAAGACATATATTACGGCGTATGTTCATCATCCATAGCTCCATCTCACGTCAGCTCCATCCACTCTCTCCTGGCCTGACTCCTCCATTTTAATTCCAATTCCCGCTCGCACTATATTTTTATAAATTGCCGGCCACAATATCAATCTCCTCCACCCCAACCGCCTCCACATCACTTCCCGGCCTACTAATTATGATCCAATAAATTAATTAAAGAATCTACGGATCCATCCATCCGTCCACTTTAAATAAAAAGTACGTACTCAGCTCCAACATATATATAAATACATAACCTTTCTACTAGCTTAGCTTAGCTTAGCTAGCAGTGTGGAAGAAAATATATATGGGAGATAATAATCTGCCGCCCGGTTTTCGCTTCACCCCCACCGATGAGGAGCTAGTGGGGCATTTCCTCCACCGCAAGGCGGCGCTCTTGCCGTGCCACCCTGACGTTATTCCCGATCTAAACCTCCACTCTTTTGACCCATGGCACTTGCAAGGTATTGTAATTTGTAAGCATGCAACAGAAATGATGACGGGAAGCTCCGTCCGAACCTGCCTATAAGATGTCTTTCTTGATCGAGTTTTTTAATGAATTTTTTTGAGCATGTTTTTCATGAATTCTAGTTCATTCACAAAAAAAATCAGCTGCAAATTCAATCCGGAAGACAGTCAAATAGTTTTTGGAAGATAACTGCGCCAAAATTTACATGTAAAAACACGGTTATCTTTCAAAATTCATTTGATTGCCTTCCTGATCGAATTTTTAACTGAAATTTTGTGTGGATAAACTAGACTTGATTAGTAAGATGCCCAAAAAATTCCATCGAGAGGGTCCTATGATAGGCAAGTTCGGACGCAGCTTTCCGTCAGAACTACTTGAAGTGATCTTTTTCCTAGTAAACAATTAATTATAATGTACCTTCTTTCAGATTTGTTTGGTATGAAATTGTAAATTTAGTCCCCTAAATTTGTTTATTGGGTGAAATGCATACATGATACCTTAACTGTTAGTATTATTGTGTTTTTGTATGTTTTACTGCAAGTAAATCAAATCAGTATCATAACTACACATAGATGTTCCATTTGACTGTATCATTCAAATAATTTTCGTCCAAAAATTCTTGCATTGCGATAAAAAATCCTTGTGCAGAATCCACCTTACAAAAATGAATTAATTCCGGACACAAATAAGATTAAGTGGACTTTACGCATATAATTCCGGCCCCCACGTATGATTTTTTTGTCAGAAATTTGAATAATATTGTCAATCGAAATATTTATGTATAAATATGGTACCGATTTGATTCATTTAAAAGTTAAAGTACCACTATAAAATTAATAAATAACAATACAAATAACTTAATCGGGTAACTTTATTTATTGATTTGGACAGCAAGTTTTATATATAGTCCGTAATTAATAAATTTGTTCAAATTATAGTGAAAAATATTACTAAAAAAGTTGTACTTTCTCCGCCTTATCGCCAATTTCTTTTATTGTCCCAAAAATTATGCGAATTACAATTTTCTTATTGAAATAGTTAATTTATGATTCAAAGCTCTTCCAATCTCCTATTTTTTATTACTTCGTATTAAGTTTAGGGGTGAAGACAGGGTAGGTGGGGGCCTTGGCCCCCAAAGATTTTTTATGTATATACATATGCATAAATATTATGAACAGTAATATATACATTTCATAAAATTTTAAACTTTGACCCTCAATATGAATTATTTAAACTTGGTCTCCTAATATGCTACTCCCTCCGTCCCGTAAAGAAGTTCCCAGTTTGACTTACACACTTATTTATGTAAGGTAGCGTTTTGTTTTGAATTTTCATGTATACTCTTACTTTATGTCAAATCAAACAAAAAAGTGGGTAAAAAGTAAGGATAGTTATAACTTTTTGGTTAAAAGTGGTTTCGTTTTATAGAAATGGGAATTTCTTTTTAGAACATCCATAAAAAAGGAAAGTGGGAACTTTTTTGCGGGACGGAGGTAGTATTTCAGACTATGTTAAGTTAGTACGGAGTATGAAATTATGAATGCCATATGTTGACGCGCATTTTCGAAATGCCAGGGAAAGCAATGGCAGAGGGGAAGAAATGGTATTTTTATAGCAGAAGATCATCTAGCAGAATGACAGAAAATGGATTCTGGAAGCCGGTAGGCGTTGATGAGCCGATTTTCTCGAGCTCCGGCACCGCCGGCGATAAAGTTGGCATGAAGAAATGCTACGCTTTTTACGTCGGCGAACAGACGGAAGGTGCTATCAAAACCGATTGGGTAATGCACGAGTACAGGCTCTCTAATCATTCTGCTTCAACTACCTGCACTAGAATAAGAAGAAAAGGTGATCATACAAATGTTATTGTAAGTCTTCTCTCTCAATGTACGTATATACGGAGTATAAATGTATAATACAGAGTAATTAAAATAATAAATTCACACCAATTTTAAAATTAATTCACTTTTTTTACTTTGTACACATTTTGATACATGTTTATTGTTTTTCGCAAATGTATATACGATCCTTCTGTCAACACTTTTGATAGTTAAATGGCCAGAGAGATAGATGTTAGAAAATTGAAAAGGGTCACAAATGGTCATAACCCATTAGTCAAATATAAAAAGTTGGAAAAGTAAAAAACGTGGATTAAATGTGAAATTTATACAAAACTTATATAGAGTAGGATCAAAAGTGAAATTACTCTGTAAATAAAATAAAGATTTAACTTCTCTAATGTGATTCTTGGAGTACAGGATCAATCTAACGAACTTGGATAATTAGCTGATTAATTACATGATTATTTAGATAATAAATTAAATAAGGTAATTCGTGTCAAGTACATTTTGAGAATAATTTTTGAGGGTAGATATCAAAATGAGCTCATTGATAATATATGTGATATTGTAGGTGTATTATTTTTAATATTTGATGAATAATTTATATACTTCGTATAACTTAAAAATGCTAATTATTTCATAAAGTACAAATGAAAAGCTTTAGAATTTAGATGGGATGCCCAATCAAATCAAATACTATGTACTATGTATATCTATCTTAGTTAGAATCAATGAGTTGAAGATATCAAGATATACCTATAAATTATGTGCACACATATATGTATTTTTTTTTTCAGGATTACAGCAAATGGGTCATTTGTCGAGTGTATGAAGAAAACAATGAAAATGAGGGTGACAATGGAATCGAACTCTCATGCTTGGATGAGGTTTTCATGTCATTAGATGATGATCTTGATGAGATTAGTTTGCCATATTAACCATTATAATTAGTTGATTAGATCCAGCAAGGTTGGATAGACCTAATTATTGATGTTGATATGGACTTAGGTGTGCTGTCTACTTCTCTTTATCTTTATCACAATATATATTGTAGAATGGTTTGGAATAATTAAATACTATTCTACTTTAATTCGCACGTTCTTTACGAAAAATAATGATGTAACATCATCATAATAGTAGTATGTTGCATGGAAATGTGCAAATGCAGAATTTTGAAATTGGAAATGCCCGATTTAATAGAAAAACAACTACGTAGTGTTTTAAGAGTTTCCAAAAGTTTTTGTGAAAATGTAAGTCGGCCCAATGCTAGTAGGCCTTATACCCGTGCGCATCAGAGGTCCAGCCCAGCACACAGGAGCTGTGACCTCCACACAACCGCTGCGGGTTTCGAACCTTGGTCGTTATTCCAAATTTCTCACCACTTAACCAACTGAGTTACTCGTGTGTGTAAGCGTACTCTTTTTCAAAAGTTTATACTTGGTATTCAATAACCACAACAATAACAACAACAACTAAAACCTAGGGGTGAGCATATCGGTTTTCACTTCGGTTTTTGTCGGTTTCGGTTCGGTTTGGAACGAGTTGGGAGAATTAATACCAAACAAAAACCATACTATTTTGATTCGGTTCGGTTTAGTTCAGTTTAGTTCGGTATGGATTTGTTATTTTTTTAATAATATATGAAGGTTTTATTGAATTTCATTAGTTCGGTTCAGTTTTTATCGGTTTCAGTTCGATTTAATACGATTTGAAAGAAATACTACCAAATTCCATATGGTTCGGTTTCGATTCAGTTTAGTTCGATTTGGTACGATTCGGTTCGATTAAATCAAATCAATATGCGCACCCCTCCGAAAACCTATGTAATGCATGTAGCCCTGTTCAAGTTGTGCCACGTGTGGATGAAATGACTAAAGGTAGGGTTAATGCGACCATGCTAGAACCACTACACTGTTATTGCTTCAAATTCTGTACATAGTAGTGCACTTGATGGCCTGCAGTTGACTTCCCAAAATGGAGATGAAACTGTATATTCCCTATGAAAAGCATTGCACCACCTATATAGTTGCAGTTGGAGCATTTCCACTATTGCTATGGTCACTTGGGTTGGTTTTTGGAAGATTTTGGAGTGTTGACTTTGAGGACTAAGTTTATATCATGATATATATATTCATGACAAAAGAATTACGGGATTGGCACATATTTACCAATTATTTCGTGCCATATAGTTCGTGCCAAACTGTTTTTGGCACGGATTTGGCATATCCCTAATAATTTCGGAAAATCCTTGTCAATTTCATATTTTTTTTGAAATGATTGGAGATAAAAAATGAACCCAATGCTTTCTTAAGTCAAACTCATACGATTACATCTTGTGTGAATTCTAAACTTTTACTAGGACCTAATTTAAATAAAATTAATGAACCATATGCTAATTCATACTACGTACTATGTACATGAACTCAATGGGGATATTGTCTATAAAATGACAATCTAAAGCCGGTTTGGTAATACTCAAATCGGTTATATCGGTTGATTCTGCTAAAATTTAAGAAGTTCTAGCTGAAGTGATTGGATTGGTTGATTCTACTGATTTATGGGAAAATTGTATTTAAAATATATTTTAAATTAAAACAAAGAAAATATTATATTAAAATAGCTAAAATGATCTTCTACAGTAACTTAAGTCAATACAGCAAAAAAGTAACTTCAGCCTTACTTTCTCTTATTATTACACAACTCAGCACGCATCATCAAAAGTTACGCACGTGTTTGATGAAAAAATTGAATGATAAACTGCCGAATAACAGCTTAACCAAATGAGTTCTAATAGAAAAAGGGAGTTGTGGGTAGTGAAGGTTCAAAGTTCAAACAAAGGAAGAGGTTGGTAAGTTTGATAATATTATTAAGAGAATGAAACAAGAAATTTAATGGTCGATTATAGTTGAATGGTTGAGATATATACATGTGCTTCGTATTAAAGTTTTCCTTCTCCCAAACACATTAAAAAGTAGAACATCTAATGTTGTTTTCACTTGGATATATTGAAAATTTCTTATCCAATCTATCTAAATCTGATGTGATCTTTTATGTATTATTAAGAGTGATAAATATATAGTGCATATGTTTAAATTTGGATTAATTGAAAACATCCTCTACCACCCCAAACTTTGAGAAAATTGAAGCCCGATTTCATTCGTCGCATTTCCATATCAATACGATAGATGATGAAGACATATACGGAGTATAATTTATGGTATTCTTTCACCGTCTTGTAAAATTTATAAATATTTATAGCATTTTCGAGATGATTGGTTAACAACAATTACAATTTTTTCAGTTCTAAAAAAAACAATAACAATTTTGATACACATATGCACACTTAGGCCTTGTTTACTTAGATCTTAATGGACTGAACTGAAATCATGACTTATTCGTCGAGCTATATACATGTGTTTACTTATGACTTGATGTTAAGTATGACTTATTCGGTCAAACCATTTGTGACTTATTCGCTTAGCCAACTTTTAATACTCCTTACGCTTCAGATGTATTTGAGTGCCGACGTTCTCGTTTTTAACCCTCAGCTCACTTATCCTTCACGATCGCAGTTCTCCAAGGTATATCAAGTACCAACTGCCGGCATCATCAGCCTCCAAAAATCTGGTTGATCGAAGCTCAGCAATGACCAAAGATCTAGAGCCTCTAAACGCCTTCGCAGATAAAGGAAGGTCGAAGGCTTCGACCTGGGGTGGAAGCTTCCTATAGCAAGTTGAGCTCGTTCATATGTTGCTTCCCAGATTGTTTTGAAAATATACAAATTGGGTGAGAATCGAGAAGAAATAAAAAATTGATAGGTGCTGCAACACGATGGGGTTCTTCTACAAAAACTTTTGTTCCTTTCATCGTCAATTTGTTATTTGTTGTTTTCTTCGCTGGGAGGGTATTGAGTTCTTCAGGCTGCAATTACAGATAGATCTATCGGTAGCAATTCACTAGAGAGGGCAGCTGGCTTGGGGTGAAGTGAGGCCTCAAACATGAAACCATTCCCTCAAGAATATTGTAATACTTGATATTTAATTTAAATGGATTAATAGTACTAATCATACAAACAAGGTGCATCTCCTTTTAAGGGAGCTCATTAGCCAAGAACTCCAAAGTTAAGCGTGCTTGCACGGGAGTAGTCTTGGGATGGGTGACCCCCTGGGAAGTTTCTCAGGGTGCGCACGAGTGAGGACAAAGTGCACGGAAAAGGTTAGTGGCGATTTGTGAGGACAGTACTAGAGGTCAGAAGTAACTACATCGGGGCCTACGGGGCCGGGGTGTTACAAATAAGACTACCTAGTACCAATTCGTTCCATGGTGTGGTAGATTTAGGAGCCGTAAACAAACAAATGAAAAGAGAGAATATACTTCCTCTAATAAAAAACTACTCATTAACTAAATTAGTAAATTTGGTGTTCTCGATTTGATTAATAGCTAATGTTCTACCTACTGATTTCCTCAATTTTACATTCTGCAGTTCTTCAAATAAAGGGAAATTTGGTCATTCTATATAATTTAGACTTGTCATTCAGCACACATAGTAAACAGTTTGTTATCTTAGTGTCACTTAATCAGACAAACATCTTAATCCAAACAGACGTCTTAACTCATTCATGACATAATAGAAAAAAAGTAAACAACCCCTTAGGCACATACACAAATATGCGCGTTAGAACAAATATCGTATTGTTGGACTTTATCCCTTCATCCTCAATTACACACGTGTTTTGATCAGGAACAAAGGATGTATTTAATTGGACTCAAATTTTATGATTTCGTCTAATCTGATCTGGCCTGAACTGATCTAGTCCGGTATGGTAAATGTATAGTCTTTGTGTCGAGTCTAGTCTGATCTGTCATTGTCTAGTTTGGGTCTGAAAAGTGAAAACAGTCCAAGTAAAAACATCCAAAGTTTATTTTTTTTGGAACAAAGTGGCTTTATTTTGATATCAAAGCATTCAACAAGGGAACAAGAAAGTAAAAGGACAACTTCCGATCACCGACCCTCGAACCAGACTTAGAGCCAATCACCCAGAATAAAGTAATATGGCTCGTTGATCCTGTAATGGGTCTAAATGAGCCTAACGTGATTAGAGTAAACCTCTCACTACCCCAACCTAATGCAAGATTCTGGAAAAAATAAACGCACATCACCAACAAAACAACATAAAGATCAAAGTAAGAACACAGCCAAGCTAAATCAAAAGTAGAAATAGTCTTCCAAACCCTAGTCGCACAATTCCTCCATGGCGGCTGTTCGGGAGGGGGCGGAACAACACCTCTTCATCTTCTTTCACCCGTACGAGCCCGCCACTCGAGCCCTCACTGTCAATCCCAAACGCATCCTGGAAGCCTTGAAGACGCAGCAGCTCCTTCGCTCTCAAGCAACACACCTTGGTTTCCATCAAGAACACAATCGAAGCCGTCGATCTAGCCGCAGAAATCCCCTCCGGACAAGCAGCGTCGCCGGAACAAACACCTAGGAGGACCCTAGAGACAACCACTTGTCATCCTTGAGGAAGCCCAAAGGATGTTCTCAATACGATATTGCTCGAGATTGCTGCTCTGTTCACCGCATGCGCATGTAACGCCCGCCGCCTGCAACGCCCACCGTTGAGCGGCCTGCGTCATTCACACGCCTGCGTCGTTCGCCTCTTAGGGTTTCACAGATTCGAGAAAAGTATTCCCCAAAACACTTTTGCGTAATTTCACATCCAAAGTTTATTGAAATAAAAAGTTGTGTGTTTAAAACTTTTTTTTACTCCAGGGGGCATCTGGGGGAGGGGGCCTGGGGGGCCTGGGGTAATCAGGGCTGAAACTCATTCCATTGAGTTTCAAACTCTTATGTGCCTAGCGGGTTTCACACTCGAGACCTCTCATTAGGCACGGTAACCTCACAACCTGCTGGGCTCGAATGCTTGGTTAGTTGTGTGTTTAAAACTTTTACATCATAATCCAACAAGAGCACACACACATTTTAGCTTCATTTACGGAATATATTGTTGCATTGAAGGATGATAAGTTTAAAATAACAAATAACTTCAATTCAGCGATTACAAACACACTTATATCTACATGACATATTTAGTTCAACTTGAGTTTTCTAATTGAATACGAAAACCAATTACTTAAACTACGAATGAGAAAGCTATATGTTTCATAAAGGACACGACATTATCGAAATCCAAATCTACCAT